GAAGTACTGCGTCTCCGTCAGAACCCGAAGGTAGGAGATGCCGCACTGTTTCGCTTTTTGTGGATGCTGTTTGTAGACTTTTTGAAGTTTGTTTGAAGTCTTTGTGTGAGTTATGCTTATAAAGTATGTAATACGTGAACAATGGTGAGGCTGTAAGCCATTCTCTTGCAGAATATCTGATGTGTTTTTGCGGTTGTATTATTGATCCTTCTTTGTGACTCTGTGGACATCCTGCTATATTTTATTGTGTACTATACAGTATTTGTATTTCTGTATTATGTCTGTATGCCGTACACCATCATTTGCGTTCTTTTCTGAAACTTTCTAAGTGAGTTCCACTGAGCGTTTCCTCAAATTATGTCCTCCTTAACACATTGAAAGCACAGTGCCAGTCCTGACCATATGAAACTACGTATGCACGAATAGGGATGGACGTGTCCTTCAAACCTTCAAACCATCTCCAAATATTACAGCGGTATACAGCATTGCCTGGATTTGGGGGGTGTAGTAACTGCCATGAAAGCATTCCTGACACTTTTTTCCGTCCTGCATCATTTTAAGCTAGAAAAAAGAGGAGAGGAGCTGGTTAGCATTAGCTTAGCTACACGGTATGAAAAACAGAACATGTTCAACTCTGGCTAACTAAAGCTAACTGGCTGACTTGGTTGCCATGGCGGGCACCAAGGTAATGGATCAGCAACTGTGTCCCAGCAACTGGACACAAGGCTTAGAATCTCCAAAAGCTCAATTTGGGATATAAACATCCAAGTTACATGAGGAAGAAGTCAAAGATTCAGCTGCTGAATGACGTGATGAAGCTCACTTTTCCAAAATGGAAAGCAGCCCAGTGTCATTTCTTTGCTGTATGAGGAGCATTAGAGATCTTATTTGCACTTGAAAATGCAAAATTCATTGAAAATGAATGCTTCGTCTCATGTGAACATGCATCTCCAAAATCAATCAAACTCTCTGTTCTCCCTTCACTTTTCCAAAGAGGAAAGTAGAGCTGGGCAATATGACAATATTTTTTGTTATCATGATAAATTGCATACCATAATGTGTCCCAATATGCTTTTTTGAACTTTGTGGATATCATCAGCACTTAAAAATCAGTTTTCAACTGCTTGTTTGATTAAAAAGAGAGCCTAAGTAGTCCTGTTTAATTGGAGTTAGTGCAGTACAGTGTGTGAAATGTTGTACAAGTAATTGGATTCATAGTTTTTGATAGTATTTTGAAAAGTGGCACTACTTTGTCCGCTCAAACTTATCAGATGTCAGAAAAAATAAATATTGTAACACATCGTGTATTGTGAAAAACTTGCTGAATTAAAGTGATACTATATTTGGCCATATCGGCCACCTCTAGTGGAAACATTTGGTGGTTTGCCTGTTTTGTGAGAAGCAAAGCATATCTTTTTGATAGCTTTTGTTGTTTGTTTGTTTGTTTTTTCACATCATGTCACATCCGATGTGTGTAGTTCTGATGCAAAAAATCGTGTTTGAATATTTAACATTTTCGAGTTGTTTATTCGCATTATGTATATCTTTACTGCGGCCTTCGTGAAAGCCGAAATCGAGCGTGTTCAGTGGTTCATGGAGCTCTTAGCCATTGCTTAGTCGCTGTTCTGTTTAGTTTCTTCTGAGGTTTTTCCTGTCTCTGATTTTTCCCTCTTTCTCTCAGTGTCATCTGTCAGTGAGCTCCTACACCACCACCAGTGACCCCTCTAAAATGTAAATGAGTGGAATGCACTCAGACTTGAAATAGAAATTTGACACGTCATCATTTTAAAATACTGCCCTTGCTGAGGAAAGATAATAGACAATGAGGCTGCTGGTTTTCACAGAACATTGGACTGACCACCCCAGAGCCCAGTTTGGAATTACTTGGATGGTGAGAAGCAGAAAATGCTAAACTAACTCATGAGAATGAACTTTAGAGGTGTGTAGAGGTGCAAATTCTTTTGTATATCTTCTTAAATTCATCTTTAAAGGCTCTTGCATATAACATGATACTCATGGTATGTTTCACATTAAAATACTCTGTTATCTTTGTTGCTAATTTCCAAAACCGCTGCAGCAACTTCAGCAGCTGTAAACTCTCTGCACACCATTTCACATGTGTCTCTGATGTGGACTGAATAAAGAATGAAGGGTTTCTGGCATGATGGATCAGTCCGTAGTGATTTCCTGAGTGTCTGTTGGTCAGTTTGACACAAAACGCAGATGGACACACAAATCCACCAGCTCCACATGGTGAGACGCAGATATTGTGCATCTTGGCCCCTCTTCATAGGCTCATAACTCCGGATGTGAGTCACGTACGATCTCATGATAAGATGGAATGGAAAAGGTGACTCTACAGATTCAGGAAATGTTTAAACTGTATTTCTGTGCTGTATTATCACAAAGATAATAAGAGAAATATATGTAGAAACACTGAACTTGACATGTTTGTTGACTCCAGAGGGTTAATAAAAGATCAAATCTCTAAAATTTAGTCAATATATCTCATTTTGAGATTGATGTAAGCTTATTACAGGGGGCAAAAAAGTATTTAGTCAGCCACTGATTGTGCAAGTTCTCCTACTTAGAAAGATGAGAGAGGTCTGTAATTTTCATCATAGGTACACTTCAACTATGAGAGACAAAATGAGAAAAAAAAATCCAGGAAATCACTTTGTAGGATTTTTAAAGAATTTATTTGTAAATTATGGTGGAAAATAAGTATTTGGTCAATAACAAAAGTTCAACTCAATACTTTGTAACATAACCTTTGTTGGCAATGACAGAGGTCAAACGTTTCCTGTAAGTCTTCACCAGGTTTGCACACACTGTAGCTGGTATTTTGGCCCATTCCTCCATGCAGATCTCCTCTAGAGCAGTGATGTTTTGGGGCTGTCGCTGGGCAACACAGACTTTCAACTCCCTCCACAAATTATCTATGGGGTTGAGGTCTGGAGACTGGCTAGGCCACTCCAGGACCTTGAAATGCTTTTTACGGAGCCACTCCTTCGTTGTCCGAGCGGTGTGTTTGGGATCATTGTCATGCTGGAAGACCCAGCCACGTTCCATCTTCAATGCTCTCACTGATGGAAAGAGGTTTTGGCTTAAAATCTCACGATACATGGCCCCGTTCATTCTTCCCTTAACACGGATCAGTCGTCCTGTCCCCTTTGCAGAAAAACGGCCCCAAAGCAAGATGTTTCCACCCCCATGCTTCACAGTAGGTATGGTGATCTTGGGATGCAACTCAGCATTCTTCTTCCTCCAAACACGACGAGTTGAGTTTTTACCAAAAAGTACTATTTTGGTTTCATCTGACCACATGATATTCTCCCAGTCCTCTTCTGGATCATCCATATGCTCTCTGGCAAACTTCAGACGGGCCTGGACATGTACTGGCTTAAGCAGGGGGACACGCCTGGCACTGCAGGATTTGAGTCCCTCTCGACGTAGTGTGTTACTGATGGTAGCCTTTGTTACTTTGGTCCCAGCTCTCTGCAGGTCATTCATCAGGTCCCTCCGTGTAGTTCTGGGATTTTTGCTCACCGTTCTCATGATCATTTTGACCCCACGGGAAGAGATCTTGCGTGGGGCCCCAGATCGAGGGAGATTATCAATGGTCTTGTATGTCTTCCATTTTCTTACAATTGCTCCCACAGTTGATTTATTCACACCAACCTATTGTAGATTCACTCTTTCCAGCCTGGTGCAGGTCTACAGTTTTCCTGGTGTCCTTCGACAGCTCTTTGGTCTTGGCCGTGGTTGAGTTTGGAGTCTGACTGTTTGAGGCTGTGGACAGGTGTCTTTTATACAGATAACGAGGTCAAACAGGTGCCATTAATACAGGTAACGAGTGGAGGACAGAAGAGCTTGTTAAAGAAGAAGTTACAGGTCTGTGAGAGCCAGAAATCTTGTTTGTTTGTGGGTGACCACATACTTATTTTCCACCATAATTTACAAATAAATTCTTTAAAAATCCTACAAAGTGATTTCCTGGATTTTTTTTTCTCATTTTGTCTCTCATAGTTGAAGTGTACCTATGATGAAAATTACAGACCTCTCTCATCTTTCGAAGTAGGAGAACTTGCACAATCAGTGGCTGACTAAATACTTTTTTGCCCCACTGTATAAGATTCGGGGTGTACTAAAAGACAAAATGATGATTTTTTATTATTTCAACCCCAGATTCCTTGGCCTTTGCTCATTTTCAATGAAGAACATATAAAATAACACATTTTTAGTGACTTCACACTGTACAGCCCCTACACATTTATATTACACATGTGGTTTTGGGGTGAACCTGTGGGGAATAAAAGTGTGGAGGTGCTGTGTCCCTTCACTCTTTTCTCATCCTACATGGCCTGCTGTTAGTGTGAGTGTGTGTGTGTGTGTGTGTGGTGTGTGAGGGTGGACAACATGGACATGCTGCTGACTGGCTACAGCTGCTAAAGGAGAACCCTACACTAGCCACTTATGATATTTTAAACGTCTGGTATTTTTACATAAATTGTTATGGCTGTACTGATTTAAAAAACAGTAATGTGGTGACACTGAGTAACAGAAACATGTACACCACACAAGGGTTAGGTGCTTTTAGTAAGTTAAATGATCTCACTCTATTGGCAGATAATTTAGCTTGTTTTAAGCATATTTCTTACCATAAGCAACATTATCTGCAAACATAATAAAATATATCATTTGACTTAGCAAGTTCACTTAAAACAAGTAAAGATATTTAAAATGACTTAAATGTTATAATAAGCTTAATAAGCCAAGATATAATTTTTTCAGCCTATATGGTCACTTTCAGTTCAACCATGCACCTATGTTAGTTCCTCTAAAGGTGCAGCTGGACAGTTTCTGAGGTTATGAAACTGGTATCTTTCAGGTATGTTAAAAAAGGTACCAAAGCTTTTCCAGTGGTTATGATCTGTTAGATGTCCTTTCTGGGGTCTCTCCAGGGGAACTTGTAAGGCTGTTGTGAGAAAACAAAAGCATTGTGCAGATTCATGGCAGCTGAAACACTCAACGCTTCTCCAGCCCTGGTTTACTGTGAAGGACCGTGGTGACACTGTAGAACTCGGGCAACCCGATCCGATCATATATCTGTCTGTGCAAGACGAGGGTGTAATTTATTTACAGCATGTGCATCTACTCAGCTTTTGGCGCCCAGTGCTTTCCTCACTGACTCGACGCTCGAAAAGCACTTTTATTCTTCACAGCTCAATGCTAGCTTTCACACTCTGACACCTGGCTCTCTGCTACCTGGCTTTCTGGGACTTCAGCTCCACCACAGAAGCTGTAGCATGTTTGCTTTCATGGCGAGCGAAGCTTAGGAAGAGGCCTGGATCGGGCCAGACAGCTGCCTCTCTGGAACTGAGGCTAGCTCTTGTGTGAGGAGTCTACAAAGGGAATATCTGTCTGTGTGAAATATGAGGGACAAAGCAGATCGGCTCTGTCTGCTGCTGCTTCTGTCTCTCCAGACAGCTTGTCAGTGTTTCTACCAGCCCTCAACTGATCACGGAGCAGAACACAAGCTTTTGTAAATTTTAAATCCATCGCGTCGTCTGTTATAACCTACTAAACTGGCAATGCAAAGCTGAAACTACACAGACGGAGAAGTGATTCCACTTTGGTGAGTACTGTGTTATACTTTCTGGAAAATAAAGATGTCAAACAGGTTCTTAGATGTGAAGCCATAGAATATCTACTTTCAGTTCCCCTAAGAATATTTCAGTACCTGGTTTTTTAGAGACACATTTTTGTAATGAGATGAATGAGTGAGAACCTCTTTAAAGTTTACAGAACCTCTTGACCAGTGCATTGCAGGGTTGGAAAGAGTACCAAAATTCCTGCTTGTGTAAGAGTACTGTTACTGCAGTGTTGATTCACTGGTGTACAAGTAAGAGTATTAAAGAGGAGCTATTATGCTTTTCGAGTTTTTCAGTTCTTTAGTGTGTTGTAGTTTTTGTGCATGAAAACTGTCTGCAAAGTTACAAAGCTTATAGTAAACACCAGAGTTAGAAACTCTCTCACAGAAACCGCTTTTCTCAGCTGCCTGAAACACCTCGTCCAGTGCTTTTCCTTTGTCACAAGATGATGCAATCTCGTAACACAATCGTTACTGGCCGTCTGTAGGGGCGGAACTTGTAACATGATGCAGCTACGGCAACCACCAGTCAGAACCAGTCAGAACAGAGTGGGTGAGCTGACCAAACAGAGCACACTGGGCTCATTGGGGTGCGGAGCTTAAAGACACAGAAGCTCAGTTCTAATGGAGCGTTTCAGACATTCTAACTCTTTCTCCACTAAACTTGATGTCTCTGATCATAACAAAGTGTAGAGGAAATCTAAGAAAAATATGAAATATGTAGAATATGGGCTCTTTAATCTTACAGTCAGACCTTTCAGATGATAATCATGTTTTTCTTAGTGGTTTATAATCAACATCACCTTGAACGCATGAGCATAAGAGTTGCATGCCAGGATCTGTCTGAATAGTTCACCTGAAACCCAGCCAAACTCCCTTCTAATCAAAAAAGTCTAGTTTGTTTCTGTTGTTATGTCACAACCATGACCACATTTATATATCACAGCTGCTTGTTTCTTTCTTAAAGATAAAAAGAGGCTGGAAAACAGTTATCACTGTTTTTGGTAGACAAAGCAACACAAACACCATAAGTGGCCTTGAAAAAAATACAATACAAGATAAAAGTAGGATGTAGGCCCTTTAAGCCCACAGTGTTTTGTATAGACAGGCACACATACTCTGACATCCCCACTGAAACTGCCAGTAGTACGTGAGATTGCAGGTGTTTTGGTTGCTCCTGGCTTTGTGAACCGCCCACCATTATGTCACGAGTTATGCCTTCGCAATGCTGCCTCCAGAGACGGTCTTCTGTTTCCCTTTACCTTTCACATTACTGATCTTCACATAGCACCTATTAGAGGCTTTTGACTAGTAGTGCTCTGACTTTCTCTCTCTGTCTCTCTCTCTGTCTCCTCTCTCTGTCTGTCTCTCTCTGTCACTCACCCTGTTGTTTCTTCATCTCTTTCTCTTTCTTCTCTATATCTTTAGTAACTCTTCCATCTCTTTCTCTCTCTCTCTCTCTCTCTCTCTCTCTCTCTCTCTCTCTTTCTCTCTCTCTCTCTCTTTCTCTTATCTCTGTCACTTACCCTGTTGTTTCTTCATCTCTTTCTCTTTCTTCTCTATATCTTTAGTAATTCTTCCATCTCTTTCTCTCTCTCTCTCTCTTTCTCTCTCTTTCTCTCTCTCTCTCTCTCTCTCTCTCTCTCTCTCTCTCTTTCTCTTATCTCTCTGTCACTCACCCTGTTGTTTCTTCATCTCTTTCTCTTTCTTCTCTGTATCTTTAGTAACTCTTCCATCTCTTTCTCTCTCTCTCTCTCTCTCTCTCTCTTTCTCTCTCTCTCTCTCTGTAGCGTGCCTTGTGCCGCGTGTGTGCCCAGACTGCATTGACTTACATAACAGCATGTGAGCTGAGCAGAGGGGGCGGGGCACAGGGGGCGGAGCCTGATCGATGAGCTCATGTTGCTGCAGTGCAGTGTGTGTGTGTGTGTGTGTGTGTGTGTGTGTGTGTGAGTGTGTGTGTGTGTGGTGTTTGCCTTTGCATTCCGTTCTCCTAAAATCAGGACTCTTCCAGTTGAATCCTCTTCCTGGCGTGCGCCTGTGGTCGTCTGTAGTGCGCTCCCTCTAGTGCTCTATTTGCAGTACGATAAGAAAACGCTAACACCGCCGTGTATGAGGAGGCACTCTTACAGTGCATGATCTGAAATGAAACAGTGTCTCTGAGGTTAAAGTGCAGAATCTCGACTCTAATTTGTGGGTATTTATAGCTATATTGTCTGAACCATGTAAGAATCACGAACCTTTTTCATACATGCTGAAAAAAGGAATGCATTAAATTTGATCATTTCCACATTAACTCAATTACAGCATTTAGTTCACTTACTTTTCGTAATGGTTGTGTTGATGCAGACTTTATTTACACATTTGCATCAAGTAAATCCAAAGCATCACTGTGTAGTCCCCAGTTTTGGGAACCATAAGCAGTTGGATGGTCAGCTGGTTGGTTGTTTCTTGGCCAGCTGTGTGTATTTGCATCATTTGTTCATGCATGAGATTTTAACATAGCTAAAAATTACACTGTAATTAAGTTAAAAATTATAGACTAAGGCCCAATACCACTGTACCCCTCGCCCCTACCACTTAGCCCTTAACCCTCCGTTTTGTGCGTTCATGCCTAGGGGTAGGGTGTCCCGATTTTTGTTGAGATAGAGGGGAAGGGTGAAGTGTTAGGGCTACATGGCCCCCCAAATGGAGGTTTTTCAGAGGCACAGTCCAAACAGAGTGTTATGAGAAAAAAAGAAAAACCGACAAGATGGCAGCACAAGTGTCCAAAAAAACCCACAAATATAACGTTAAGTATTTTCTCTGTTAAAAAATTACTATAGCCATCTTGGTTTAATGTCTTTTCAATGTATGATGGTCCTTTTCTTCATAACAAATATAAAAAATTGCTAGTAGTTTGCTGATGTATCAGTAGTTAGCTAGCTAAATTACTCAGTCCACCTTAAATAGTCCAGCAGTATTGACGCCTGAAGCGCCAGAATTAAACTGCTGCTTCGTTTAAGGTGGAACAGGAAAATTTGAACAAGAAGCTGGCGAATAGCTGACTTCAGCTTTATATCACTGAAGAATTAGGGGTGGACAATAATAAATAATAGTCCCCTCTTTAAAGGCATAAGATGTCCTAAATGTAACTAAAGCACAGCAGTGAGGTTGCTGAACTTCACCCTCCTCTGCTATCACTGCAGACCGGCAGGGTCGCCTACAGAGCAGCACTAGTAGCCTGTTAATGAAGTGATGTTCCTTTTTATTTGAGGATCCCATTTCGTAGGGGAAGATTTCAACCGCTACCCCTTGTAACTCAGTTCCAAGGGGCAAGGTGGCACTCAAAAGCAAGGGGTAGGGGTAAAAATAAATCCGTCACACAGATCTAAAACACCAGAGTATTAATCCTAAACTGAGACTATAATATCTTTTCAGTGGTGAATTACCATCGTCATTGGCAGTGTTGGAGATAATGTGTTAAAGTAATGTAATTACTTTTTTCTGTAACAATGAAGTGTAACGCATTAAATTCTAGTAATTACATTACAGTTACTGACTTAATAATTTAATTTAGTGGTGTCAAAGTTAACACATTACTAATGTGTTAACACAGTAAATTATTAACAGCAGTCATAACGCTCTCCCATAACATTCTCCTATTTTGATGTCATGAACCATTCGTAATTTCACAAAATGGAAGTTCGCTTACTGTTCACCAGCTTCTTATTCAAATTTACCATCCCACCGTAAATGGTGCAGCAGTTGTCCTCTTAAATGGCCAGGACCCATCTGTGGGTCCAAAGTTTTACTACACTCTCCTATAACCTAAAATTAACTAAGCCAGTCTGCATTATAGCCCATGTAGTTACTGAATAATAAGCTTTAGTATGTAATACTCCTGGGATTTTAAGGGGTTAAATTCTGGCACCTACAGATCGCAGTGAAAACGAGAGTTAAATACATGAACACCAGAGACTAGTGTTTTGAAGCCTGTTGTGACTGTATGCTAGTGTGAACATGTGAAGAGCTCAGTGTACTGTGAAGCAGGTGAAATAATGTCTGTGATTAAATATTTAAGAGTCTGTGCAGCACTAGTTTCACCAAGATGGTGAGTGAGGCGTGCAGGTGAGGAGAGTAAAGGAGAGTGAATGGACATGCAGGAACTCCATGGTGGTTGAACTGGTGCGGAGGTCAGGCGAGCAGGGACACCCAATTAAGGCAGATTGTGCGACAGCATCAGACTGGACATGATGGGCAGTTGTTCAGTTCAGCAAACAAGCACACGGACACTTAGTTCTGTTTCAGGTGACTGGCTGTTCCAGGCTATTGCACAATAGAGTGCAAGCAGTGACTTCAGCAGGTCTAGCCTTAGGCACCTAAATTATCGAGCAAGTGGAGCACCCCAACTTTTATTTGAGGTGGAGCAAACACACACATTTGCTTCCCACTGTTTATTTGAATGAAAATTTGTGGAATTAACTCTGTAAGCACAAGATTACACATTTAACTTTCAGCCTCCTGTAAAACAGAACTGTCACGCAAGAGGATCAGTGAAAATGCCATTTTGCTAAGATATTTAAGCAAGAACAAGACATGCCACAATGCAGGAGGGTTTAGTACTCTGGAAGCCCACCCCCCCAAAGGCTAGAAGAGAGAAAAAATATTGCTTGTTTTTTCCCCTCTGTTACTGGCAGCAGAATGACTTTTTAACTTGGGCCTCATTCACCAACCATTCTTGAGAAGAAATTTCTTCTTTAAACCCACTTATGCAGCTTTCACAAAGATTCTGACATTCACCAGTGTTTTCTTATTCAGGATTTGTTCTTAGGTAAGAGAATCTACACACACTCGAGAGCACAACGGTATGAACAATTTTGCGGGTTAAGAACACGTCATGAATCTGATGTAGACTTTTTCTTAGGACATTTCTCAAGAACACATTTAAGAGGAAGCTTAGGAAGATATTAGTAAATGAGGACCATTGACTTTTCGAGATTTTGATT